TTTTCGATTTCAACAATGAACAGTGTGCTTTGGTTTGGTGTCTGAATATGAGTGCTGTTGGCAAAGTGCAGTTGTCTGATGATGATGACTCTGAAGGCTGCATTTCTAGGACATTCCTATGATTCTGATATGTCCCTGGCAGCCTGGCGTCAGTTATGTGATCTTCAAAGTATTGATAGACAAGCCTATCGCATATTTTTTGAAGCGTTGAGTCAGAGTCGAAGCTGAAGGGCACTGTGCCAACCTCTTCATCTGGATGTCGAATTAGCAGACTTGTTTTTAAATCACGGAGACCGGGCACAAGTTCCATGTCACAGGTCAATGCAAGCATGTGGAGGACGGATTGAAAGTTCGCTACGTTACATGGCGCCCAAATGCGTCAGCCAAAGTGATGTGTATTACAACTTGTCACCGCTCGACTGTAATGCTTTGCTCTGTGAATTATGAATCAGGTTCTTCACATGGTGCCCGCCAGAAGTTGTTGGGCAAGTTGGCGCATTTAGATAGTTGTGAGCGATCACATTGAACGTGGCTTTTTGATAAAAAGGATGCATGCGGCCTGCGACATTCCTTGATATTTTCAGGCATGTTTTGATCGCTATGATTCCATGTCATGGGACTCAGGCTCGCAGCGCAGTAGACTAAATAGCAGTGCACTTCGTACGCGCCAGCCAGGTGAATCATCATGAAGATCAACAATGGATGGCCATGACTTGTTTGATGAGGTTGACGCTGATTGGCCTGAATGTCTTGTCACGTATTGTTCATTTTAACCTAAACCCAAAAATGGAGCCCTACTGCATTTTTGACTGAGGTTGATGTTGTTTGCAAGGGTTGGAACCCCTGCCAGCACAGTGCTCTTCAGCCAAACCCTGACTAGTTTCAACAAACTTACTTGTTACGATTCCAGCGCTCTTCAGCAAAAACTTGACTAGATTCAAAAATCTTACAGTAACAATCCCTGCCAGCACAGTGCTTAGCCAAAAAAATTACTAGTTACTATTCAAAAATCTTACAATCCCTGCCAGCACAGCCAAAACTTGACTACTTTCAAAAAGAATACTCAATGCCATCAGCCAATACTTGACTAGTTTCAAAAACCTTACTTTGTCACAACCCCTGCCAGCACAGAGAGCTCTTCAGCCAAAACTTATTAGTTTCAAAAACTTGTTACAATCCCTGACAGCACAGTGATCCTGGCCTCGTTGAGTATCGTAAAGGAACCGTAAAAGGAAGTTTTGTAAGTGTTTTGTAAGTTGACTTGTCGCTCGACTCGTCAACTTATCGGAAAAGGAAATGTTGAGCTTTCATTTTGTTTGCAAGTTCACTGCAACTTCACTCGTGGCTCCACTCGTGGACTTACTCGTGCAAACACTTTTGGTTCACTCATACTTTTTCTCGGTGGGAAATTTGGTTCAAAATCATTTCTAATCATATTTGTTTAATTTTTTACTCTTATTGTTTGAGTAATTTCTAATCATTTAGATCTTATTTGTAACAATTTTAGGCTTAAATATGATTAACTATGATCGAAACAATTTCAAAAATGCAAACACAGGACTAAAGGGTGCCCATCTGGATGGTCAACTTTAAGTTAATTTGCTGACTTCTCCAGGATCTTGGGAAGAATGGTGCCCGGCCCGTTGATCAAAAATACAGGACCGGATAACCCCGCATGTTAACAACTTCAGAAAACACAGGAGCGGACAATTGGTGGTTGGTGGGTGACAATTGGTTGGTGGCAGTTGGTTGGTGGCAGTTTGTGGGTGGAAGTTTGTTGGCGGCGACTGGTTGGTTGACAATTGGTTGATGACAGTTGGTTGGTGACAATTGGTTGGTAGCAATTGGTTGGTGACATTTGGCTGATGACAATTGGTTGGTGACAATTGGTGCACGGCAATTGGTTGGTGGCAATTGGTTGGTAACAATTGGTTGGTAGCAATTGTTTGGTGACAATTGGTGGGTGGCAATTGGTTGATGACAATTGGTTGATGACAA